TCAGTACAAAAATGTTCGCAGGAAATTTGCAAATAAAATAAAATGAAATAAAATAATAATAATAATAATAATAATAATAATAATAATAATAATAATAATAATAATAATAATTTTTGAGCATGAAATTCGTACAGTTACATTTTAAAAACTCTATTGTTTAACATAAATTGTGCACATATGCTTAAATAAGTATATACATATAAGACTTATTTATATATATGATAAAGAGAAGTTTGCAAGAAATATGATGTTTTCTTTCGAATTTGCCGCTAAATTGCAAGGATATAAAAATATTAAAATTTGCAAAAAGCGTGAAGTGACATACTGTTTGAACGGGCTTTTGGAATAACTGATGCCATCTCAACGAATCGAACCACTCAGTATAACTAATATCTGATCAAGTCTTTTCCTTCACCATTTTGACAAAGTGGAATTAATAAAAGCATCTTGTATGTCGAATACAGCACGATCGAATATCTTGTTCTACGTGCTAGCCGTTGTTTAATGCTTAAGAGATTTAGTCTGTATGTTAATTTCCAATATTACTTCAACAATCCTAATCTCAGCAACTTATACACACACAGATAAGGACATCTATGCCAACAACTTGTCGTTCAGAAGAACTTAAAATGTTCGTTCTCAATTATTCCCTTAAACTCATTGAAGGATAGTAGTCATACTTCTTCATTTCTATACAATATGCAAGGTTAATATACCTCACAAAGCCTTGGGTTTTCGGTCACATCCTGAACATTCTCAATGTATGCTGTTAGAAAGTAGAAAGCTTCAGTGCTGGGTAGAACATGGAATATTTTATGTTCGATATTACTAGACAGCAAGGATGGATTTCATCAGAATATCGGAGGATCGTGATAGAAAAGAGGGGACGGGGTATTAATGTCCTAGCAACGTGGTCAAATGTTCAATGATGTTAAAACTGCAGGTACTCATGAAGCCAAATTAATTTTTGATGTTTCACGGTGAGAGAAAAATGATCGAAACATTTAAGTGGGGCATTTTGTAATGGGGGTATCAATAAACGGGTATATTCAGATGAGAACGACAGCCATTGGTTGGTTTGTCGTCTGCCTCGTGTGTCACTACGGACGGTGAGACGCGTACTGGTAGTGTATCAAGTAAAATAGATTTTACTGACTTGCTTGTCAGTTTAATTAACATATGCATTGCAGTTTTGAAATTATGATGACCTAATATTAAAACTCATTTTGTATATAATACAAAATAACAGAGAGCTTGGCTTCATTACCTGGGTCAAAGTTGGACAGGTCGTAAACAAACACATTTTCCATTAGGCTTGCTGGTAGTTCCATATTTTCCGAATGC